TGTAGCGACCTGTTTACTCGGCCCAACACCCGGTTTAACTTATTTGAAGGATGGATGTGTTTTTCCTGTCTTCCAGTGAGGGATAAATGAGTCAATGATTATTATTAGTCACTGGTTTTACTGAATTAATGACAAATAAAAAAAAAAACGTGTCTGGGTAATTTTTTTTTCCGAGGTGTTACAATTTCCTGTTTAAAAGACATGTTAATAAACTAAAACCTGAAATTATGTCATAAAAAGTAAATTAACTAACAGGAAAATATGGAAAACTATATACATGGTTAAATAAATAAATTACTAAACCTCAAAGTAAACACAATAACAGAAGAGTAAACAAACACACGGGTAAATACATTAAGAAATAAACATCTACAGGACCCGCACTCGTCACCTCCAGGTAAACACACAAATTGGGTACATTTTTTGGCACACACGAGACATAGATGGCGCAGGGTGAACTGTACCCAAGCCGGATTGAACTGCAGCGAGAAAAAGGTTGCTGCTCTCCTCAATGATTTCTTCCTGACAAGAGTTATGTGGCTGAATGTGAATGCGGTGACTGAATGTGAATGAGGTGGAGTTGGCAGCCTCGAGAAGACGTGGAGTACCTCACGCTGGGATTGGCTCGTGTGTTTACAGGGTCCGCTATTCACAGTTGATTTAAATATACTTTCAGGCTGATTTTAATGCACCAAAACATAAATATTTGTACTTGTCAAATATGTCTAAACAATTCATTAAGAACTAATTTTTTTGCTTGCGGGGTGAGAGCAACAGTTACGATACAAATACAATAAATAACAATAAAAATAAATAACAATAAAAATAAATAACAATAAAAATAAATAACAATAAAAATAAATAAAATCGCTCGGAGAAAATAATGTCAATAGCAAATGAACGGCGATAAGAGCGGAGACAGGAAAAGATGATAACGTTACGAGAAGTCATATAAGGAGATAAAAGACGATTTCAGAGGAATTTCAAATAAAAACCCAACAAAGGGAGAACGATAGAAGGTTTCTCGGAAAATGTCAAAATAACCTAAAAATCAATAAATCCAAGATGGCTGCGAAGCTTAAGAGGATAACAGGATATCTGCCACGTAAAATATTGTTCTGAAACCCATTGTCTTAGCTCCTAAAGCATAAAATAAAGACAAAGTGATATTTCTTTTACGATACTATATTATAATACTGATATTTATGCCTTTGTATTATTTCACAAGTATTCGTGTCAGGGTTAATATTTTTTGGCAGGAAAATTCTGCCAAATAGCGTATCATTATTAATATTTTTTCTTGTGGTTTTACATTATTCTCCAGGTATTAAGGTCTTGTCTAATACATTTATGAGCGGGTAAATGAGGTGTCCACGCTCGATTAATTTACCAGACTACCTGAATCTAATAAGAGCACTGACTATGCGTAAAAAAAAAAAAAAAAAATGATTGGGACTTCCCCAGACCCGCTCCCCACATCACTCGAGTTCTCACGTCCATAACTTTTGGCGATACAAATCCAGTTAGCTTTTGTCCATTTGTTCCAGTCCTTCACATGTACTCACGTTCTATCAAGGACTCTCAAGTGTACATTTCTTACGGTACAACCTTCAACAGTACACCTCCAGAGTACACAGCCCAGGAGTACATCATGCCAACAACATTGTCACTTTTACCTTATACTTTCACCGTCCTCAAAGGGTTAAACCATCATCCTCAATAGGGTTAAACCACCATCCTCAAAACAGTTAAACCATCCTCCTCCAAAAATTAAAACCCACCTTCAATTTCTCCAGTTCAACTTTCTTCTGGTAACCTGAGACACCAACCATAGCAAAAAAAAAAATGGACCAATCACATTCCTTCACCCGTCTCGTGCATGGATACAATTCAACATTATTCTCACAGGATACACCAGGTTATATAAATAAATCCGACATGATGATCTACGAACGCTATATTGAATCGACTTATTGTTTCCCATTGTTTGTGTACTGTACTGTCTATGTAAATTGTTTGTATACCTGAATTGTTTGCGCATATATCTATTTATATATGTATGCATCTCTCTCTCTCTCTCTCTCTCTCGACCAAGGCTTACATTAGGCTGTCGTGGGAACCCAACACAATAACACTCCCTGGTGACCGTGTTGATATTTTCCTCAACTCAAATATACGCGTTTTTACTTCACTACTGACGCCATATTTTTCGCCTCACCTACCCCTACCACCACTACCACCACCACACCGCTACCTACCCCTACCACCACTACCACACCGCTACCTACCCCTACCACCACTACCACCACCCACCTACCCCTACCTACCAATTACCACCACCACACAGCTACTCATTCCACTCACCTCACCACCACACCCACTCCCCACTACCACCACCACACCGCTACCTACCCCTACCACCACTACCACACCGCTACCTACCCCTACCACCACTACCACCACCCACCCAGTCACCTCTAAATTAACACGGAAGACAAGTGTATGGGGGGAAGTAAACACCACAAAAGCTTTTATTTAAGGCGCATTTAACCCCAATTGAGATCAAATGATAGATGACAAACATTTATACTCCATAATTGAGATTAATTTAAGTCCTTCTCCCTTTATTTTTCCCCCTAGTTCAAGCATTTTCTCCTTATTTTCCTAGTTCAAGTATTTTCTCCCTTATTTTTTCCCCAGACCAAATATATCCTCCCCAGTCGCTAAAAACTCATCCCTTTCCTCCCCGGATCATCTCTTTTAACTCCCCAAGCCTCAATCCTCCCCACACACCCATCCTTTCCTCCCCATACCTCCCACAATCTCCCCTAAGCCGTTCCTACCTTCTCTCACACACGCCCTCAAGTCCCTCACCTCCCGAGCCTTCCAAAACAAGTAATTCCAATCCATCTCTGTTTACATTTCCCCTCTTCATGTTTCTCTCCCCTCCTCTCCCCTCACATTCTTTCCCCTTCCCTCACACCATCTACCCTTCCCCTCATCTCCCCCTCTCCCCTCAACCCCCCCCCCCCCCCCTAAGGCACCGGATCTAAGGGAGGGAAGGCAGGGGGAGGTGGGAAGGGTAGGGGAAGGAGGGGAGGGAAGGGGAAGGAGGGGAGGGAAGGGGAAGGAGGGGAGGGAAGGGGAAGGAGGGGAGGGAAGGGGAAGGAGGTGAGGTGGGGGAAAGTCCTGGGAATTTTTTGAGACGGTAATGAAGTGTGACGGATGAACATCTTACCGCAGCGGCTTTAAGATGTGACCGAGTAGCTCCTTCTTTTCCTTCATTTACTCCTTCATTTACTCCCTCATTTACTCCTTTTTTTCCTCTTACTCTTTCCTTTCTTCTCTCCTCATTTCCACTTCCTCCTTCCTTTCTTTAATCTCACTCTCTTCTTCATGCCGTCTCTTATTTTCTTCCCCCTTCTCTCCTTCCTTCCCTCCTTTTCCCCCTTCCTTCAATCTCCCCTTCTCTCTCTCTCTCTCTCTCTCTTTCTCTCTCTCTCTCTCTCTTTCTCTCTCTCTCTTCCTTACTTCCTTCTCTCATTTCCTTCCATCACTGCTTCATACTTTCCTTCCTTTCCTTCATTGTCGTCTTCTTCCTTCTCCTTCCCTCCTCCTTCCTTCCTCCTCCTCTCTCATCTTCCCCCTCCCCAATGATTACATCAGACCAGTTTCAAACACGATTACTACCTGTCAGACTCTTGGTCATTAGCCTCGGTATCAGGTAGGCATCTCAATTAATTATTTCATTAGGGGGGCGAGGTTTTGGTGATAGCTCAGGTGTGATGAGCAGGATCATGTGAAGATTAATCACCCTTCACAGGACACCCCTCCCTACCTGAAACAACAACAAAAGCTAGTGCTTTAAACATCACTTCCTCATACAGGGTTCGTATCCCTGAAAATATACCATGTTTATATTACTGATTTTAAAAAGACAATAACATACTAGGTAATTTTTATAGGGTCACCTTGTACCATATAGAGCAACAATACTGCCAGATATATTATATAAATTGATATAGGATTAACCACTAGCATTTGGGAGGTCAATTTACGTGGCAAGGTCAATGTCATAGGGCATGTGAACTAGGTTGACCTATGGGGGAGCAGCGTGACGGTAATAGGGTGACCTGACGTGAGTATTATTAACCTCATTGGGAAATTATGACACACACACACACAGCTATCTGCACGAGTAATCTCTTATAGCCGAGGTCCCTGCACCACACACACACACACACACACACACACACACACCCACACACGCACACACACACACGATATCCAACTCAGCCTTGTGCAAGTTTTGTGCAGCAATTTGTGGCAACGTCAACATTTATTTCTTTTAAGTCTGAAGGCAGAGTTTTTGTGGGACAACTCTCTCTCTCTCTCTCTCTCTCTCTCTCCTCTCTCTCTCTCTCTCTCTCTCTCTCTCTCTCTCTCAGGGCAAAACAAAACCACAATCTATTAACTCTGAGATATTATGATGGGGAGAGGGAGAGTGGGGGGGTGAGGGAGGGATGGGAGAAAGGGAAAGGAGGAGGGCAGAAACAAAAGCTCTTAATTGGGGAGAAGGTAGGAGTGAGATGGGAAGTGGGGGGGCGACTAAATAGAGGATGGGTTAAGAATGTGGGGATTCTTGGGGAGGGGGGAGAGGAGGGGGGAGATATATAAACCTGTACTCAATGATCTCACAGAGTCTACCTTACTCAAAGAGCTCTGCAAGGAACTCAAAAAGAGCTCTATAGGAACTCACAAAAGGTGTTACTCAAAGGAATTCTATTTGAAACTCACAAAAGCTATTACTCAAAATACCTCTGTAGGGAACTCACAAAAGGTGTTACTCAAAGGAACTCTATAGAAACTCACAAAAGCTAATACTCAAAAAAAGAGCTCAGCAGGAACTCACAAAAAAACCCTCAAATGGGTGACTCAGATTACATAAAAACCCACACACACTAAAAAAAAAAATAATGCCAGTTAATCTCTCATCTTACCTACGTCGGAATTATCTACAAGAGAGAGAAGAATCAGGGTCAAGCGTCATTATTATTGTACCCTCCTTCAGCGCCTTCGTTGTTAGTCTTCCTCCTTCAGCGCCAGATACTCAGCCTCGTTTTGACAGCGGAGGGAAAAAATTTCCTTCTCTCCGTGACGATTCTAGATAGTCTTTCGTGCAGGTCAGACAGGGTGGGTGAGGGAGGGCGGCAAGGGAGGGCAATGAGGGTGGGTGGCGAGCGAGGGAGGGCAGAGAGGAAGGACGGCGAAGTATGATGATGTTGTTGTTGGTTGATGGCGGCGAAGCGACACTCCACAATGCATCAAGTCACGTCGACGTTCTAGCCAAGAGTGGGGTGGAAGATTTTGTCCTCTTTGTAGTATTGGTTAGAAGGATAAACTCCATGTGGTTAGGTGGCACTGTTTTGAGTCTTGTTAGTGAGATGTTTTATTTTTTATTTTTTTCTATTTCTGTTTATTTTAGTCACTTATAACACCTGAGTTAATAATGTTATTTCAGATAATTGTCAGTAAGGTATCGGCTTTTCTAGAGAGAATTTCGTTTTTGTTGACAAGTCTTTCAATACGATACGGGGTTAAACTACAATGATTGTAAAAAAAAAAAAAACCTGAATCTCCTTTTAAAAGTTTCAAAATAGCGAAAGTGCCAGAATAACGACAGTGCCAAATGTAAGGAAGGGGAAGGGGTTAAGTGCCACAGAACAGCTAACGAAGAGGAGGTGGTGAAGGTCCAGCAGCGGTGGTCCCGTGGCCCACACTACTGAAGGGAAGCCAAGGTTGGGTTGAGTAAGGGGGGGATCAATAAGGTGTGATGCGGTGGTGGTGGTGGCGCTTGTCGCTTCACTTTTGTTTTGTTCCATGTTTACCCCACCTACGTACCTCGCCCCTCACGACAATAACACATTTTCTCTCCCTCTTTCCTCTTATTTACTATCCACGGTCACTGCATTATTTCCCCCCTCCTCCCCTCCCTATAATATACGACTATGAAAACACTTAATACAATTTTAATACACTGGAGTGGCTATTATAAGCATATTTACGGCATTAGACCAACTTGTAATGGTATTTCCTTTATCGTGTGTTCCGCTATTCGCCATTCCATTACGTTCCACCGACTGTTAAGGACATAATAAACCTTTTTTTTGTATCAACCAGACTTTAAATTAAAAACCAAATCATTAATTAGACTTTTCTTAAACTAAATTCAAAATAAAATATAAAAATAACGTTTCCTTTCAGTCTTTCACTCTACCCCATAAATCATCATCTTCATAAAAGTTCCAATAATTCTGAATGTTTATTGTATTTTTATTCACTCGATATTAAAAGCACCTACAGCGCCTCCTTCACCCGTTATAGCATCTTTTAACACTTACGTTCACAAACTCTATTTTCCTCCAGACGTTTTAGCGATTTTTAAGACGATATAAATAGTGGCGTTACTGTATACTGTGAAAATGGCGTCTGTTGTCACTCCTCGGGGCGATAATGGACTCACGACGCTACACCATTACACCACAAACCTAACCTAACCTCACACACACACACACACACACACACACACACACACCAGTTCCTGTAAATCATTCGGAAAAATAATTGCAATGATAATAACAATAATGAAAAACAAACAACAGTGATAATAAACAAAGACAATTACTGGCATAGGGGTCGTGATAATCTCCCCTCAGTGGTCATCCTTCCAACTGACGTATGAGAATAATAATAATAATAACACGAATGATAATAATAATAATAATAACAAAAATAACAACAATAATAACAACAATACTGGATGATAATAATATTCGTAATAATAAAAGTAATAACAACACCACTACAAAATATAACAATAAATAAATAAATCACTGGCATTGTTTAAGCTCGTAGTCTCTCGAGTTCGTGGTACTGTGTTAACAATGGTCTAGTAAGGCGGTGATGGCGGGGTAGTCCATGGCTCGCGTGTTGTGGGGGGTGAGGGCTGGCGACCGTCTGGCTCCCCACTGAAAGACGAGGCTCCGGGTTGACGGGGTGAAGGGGGAGGGGAAGGGCCATTGGTGGAGTAAAGGTTCCTGGCATAAGAATTGCAGGGGGGCGTGAGTTGATGGGGTTGTCGGGTTGATGAAGTGTCAGAGAGAGAGAGAGACTATGGGTTTTAATGTAGCAGAACGCAAAATAGAATAACAAGTGTGTGAATTACCAATAAAACAAAACAATTTAAATTAATTCTAAATCGGAAAACGGACGTATGCAAACAGACGGACGCCCTGCGAGATATTAGATTCAGACAAGACACGAACCTCCCCACGTGGCAAGGCTTCACACACACACACACACACACACACACACACACACACACACACACACACACGTCACGCGTAACACTAATTCTTGGAAAACCTTTTGGTACTCATAAAAAAATATTACGTAATTACACCTAATTACATGATGATGTTAATATATCATGGATTAATTGTCCTCTTAAGTGGAGAATAATTAAGTGTATCAAGGGCGGGGGATGGATGGCGGTGAAATTTGTTTGTTTACATAATTGCGCGGGAAAAATTACCAACCAAGGGGGCGGGGCCAAATGCGATTCAAATATTTTACCCTTTTAAAAAATCACAAAACACATGTCTAATATTTATTTTTTTTATACAATTCTGATTAATAATTTTGTATATGGGGAAAGGACATGTTTGTTGACTAATTTTCTCGCGTGGGAGTGATGGGGGGGGAGCGAGAGTAAATCCCGTGCGCGCCAAATACGATTCCAATATTTCATGGTCTTTTAAAAATAACTCCAGAAGCGCGCCAAAAATAATTCTTACCCACGGCATAAACAAACCTTGTGCTGAAATTTACTCGCTAAAAATAATTCCCCCTGTTTACATAATCAACTCCAGGGCGTAATAAACAAACGAACAAAAAATAAAAATACACAAACAATAATATCTTTAAAAAAAAATAATTGACCACTAAAAATATTTCTCACATCTGGTTATAAATTAGTAAACTAATAATAAACAAACAACAAATAAACAAATAAATAAATAAATAAATAAATAAACAAAGACACGAATGGTTCCTCGAAATTTTACAACATTTTTATTGACAAATTCTTACAAGCGTTTCTCATGGGGGTGGTGGGGTGGGGTAGGGGAGGGGGTCGAAGGAGGGGATAGTGGGGAGGAGCAGGAGAGGGGAAAGAGGGGAGAGGGAGGGTGCTGGAAGAGGAGGGGTAAAAGAGGAAGGAGGAGGAGGAGGAGGATAGAGGGAAATAAAATGGGCCATTCAAACAGACAGACAGACAAGTGTGATTAATTACGACACAGCTCCTCTAATTGCCTCGTTGGTGACAGACACACCAACTACGACTCACTACACTTGCATAGAGTTCTTCAGTCGACAGGTAATTACTTCGTCACCTGTAATTAGCAGTAACAGACAATTGTACCTGGAAATGTCCCAAACCAGGGTCGTTCATAACATGGTGACGCGGGAGGGGGGTCGTTTATGAGGAGGATTGGGTGGTGGGGTGGTGGTCGTTTATGAGGAGGGTTGGTGGTGGTAGTTAGGGGTAGTGTGGAGGGTTGTTTCTAAGATGGTGGGGTCGGCCTTAAGGTGGTGGTGGTTGTTGGGGGTGGTGGGGGTGGAGGGTCGTTCATAATAAGAGAGGGGTGGAGGGGGGGGAAGGTCGTTCAGTCGTTTACATTTCCAGTTGTTAATGTAAACGAGGTCGTCGGGGGTAATTAGCTGACGTCATGACAATTGCAGGACTACTTCTGACGTCACGATGGTTAAAGGACACTACTGATTGATGTCACGGTAGTTACAAGAATCACCACTGACGTCACTAGATTACATGACCAATTACGATGTCAGACGACGTCACAGAGGCAGCTGCATGAAAACAATGACATCACGACACCTGCATGACTTAGTGCTGACGTCATAACACCTGCATGACTCACTGCTGACGTCATAACACCTACATGACTCACTGCTGTCTACTGACGTCACGAGAGCAGACGGCGCCTGTAGTCAATACACTGGCGGCAACACCTGAAGATTAGGCACCCTAGCTTATGTCGCCCGAGAGAGAGAGAGAGAGAGAGAGAGAGAGAGAGAGAGAGAGAGTCATTATAAAATAGGCTGTTCGTGGATTCCGGATATGAGAGAGGATTAAAAAAACTGTTACAAGAACGACAACAATGATGCCAGGCGGCCGTAGACCATGACTCTCTCTCTCTCTCTCTCTCTCTCTCTCTCTCTCTCTCTCAAGGACACCTGTACACCTGGTATAATTTATCCCTAATTAAGACACACTTATCTTTCTAACAGTCCATTAAGTCCTCTCTGGGAACACCTTCAAGAGATACGTTTCTGTCTTCCTGTCTGTCTGTCTGTCTACAACTATCTATCTGTCTATCTATCTCACGTCTCATTAGATGGTCTAGGATGTGAGGACGGCTTTAGTTCTACCGAGGGTAAGACTCGTTAAGAATTCACAGTGGTTCGTAAGTGGAATTCTAACCTTAAACCTTTGATGGTGATTTAACCCTTTGATGATGGTTTAACCCTTTGATGATGGTTTAACCCTTTGATGATGGTTTAACCCTTTGATGATGATTTAACCCTTTGATGATGATTTAACCCTTTGATGATAGTTTAACCCTTTGATGATGGTTTAACCCTTTGATGATGATTTAACCCTTTGATGATGGTTTAACCCTTTGATGATGATTTAACCCTTTGATGATGGTTTAACCCTTTGATGATGGTTTAACCCTTTGATGATGATTTAACCCTTTGATGATGGTTTAACCCTTTGATGATGACGACTCAACCCTTTCAATGCCGTTAAATTAACCCTTAAACAACGCTAACTTAACTAGTGATATAAGAACGTATCTAACTACCTCATTACGACACCAGCCACCCTTAAGACTAACACATACAAGACTTAACTACCTTCCTCTCATAACAACACAAGGAAAGAATTATCTATATTGTAACCACGTCTTAAGTCTTTTGGACACTTGGCTGACATCCACATCACGCAGCAGAGATAAATGTACACAGTTTCATTTACGAGTGTGAGTGGGGGGTGGGGGGAGGGGTGGTTGGTCATGGAAATCAGGGGGTGGGTAGTAGTTAGTGAACGAGTGACGTTAGGGTTAGGTTAGGTTACGTTACAACACACATATCGTAACGAAAGTGTTTCAGTGCACAATGATCGCCTCCTCGCCCCCCCCCCTCCCCTTACCCCCTTGACGGTCATCACAGGTAGGAGGGGGAGGGAGAACGTGACGTCATTTACACCTGAGTGATAAGGGCGTTTATACAGGTAACTTGTTGAGGAAGGTGTGATCAGCTGACCATAGCAGGAAGTTCTTATATAAGGTCGACCGGAAGTTGTGACATACTCAATAATCCCGGGTTGTGTTATGGTGGTGGTGGTGGTAGGTGGTGGCGTGGTGGTGGTGATGGTGTTAGGTGGTGGGTGGTGGTGGAGTGTTGATGGTGGTTAGTGGTGGTGGTAGAGTGGTGGTGGTAGGTGGTGGTGGTGATGATTGTGGTGATGGTGGTAAGTGGTGGTGGTGATGTTGTGGTGATGGTGGTAGGTGGTGGTAGGTGGTGGTGGTGGTGATGTTGTGGTGATGGTGGAATTGGTGGTGGTGGTGATGGTGTGGTGGTAGTTAGTGATGATGATGGTGATAATGACGACAATGACGACGATGATATTGATA